AATAATATTTATCAACTTCATAACACAACTCCTCTAATATATCCTTTATTTCCTCGTTTGTGAATCCCAATTTTTTAACATCGTTAGTTTTGACGCTCATTTCATACAAAATAAAAAAAATAAATTATTCAAAAATGTAAGACATGAATTTTTAAAGTTTATTTTTTATTCATGAAAATAATTATTTCTAATTTCTTTTACTCTCTCGTATATACTAGATTTAAAGAATTCAGAACATTTCCCATAATCTCCTAAATGTTTTCTTATCCCTAACGTGTGCCAGTTATTATATGAAACTGAATAAACTTTATCTTTATCTTTACACCTTTCATCACTTCCAATATATTTATATCTCAGTTTTGATTTAGCATTTTCATATTCATTAGCGTTTAATAATTCACAGTCTTCCTTTTTAAATAAATGTTTTATGTATTCAGGATTTAATACTCTACGTTTATATGCTCCTAACTTAGTTCTAAAGGTTTTTCTACAAAATTTAGGAATTCCATCCTCTTTAATGTCATCAATGATTTCCATTTCATTATTTTCAATTTCTTCTTCTCGTTTATGAGGTCTTTGATTATGACTCCATTGATTCCATGAAATTAAATATTCTTTATCATTATATTTATACATCATTAGCTTATTTTGGCTTTCATATTTTTTTAATAATTCACAATCTTCATTTTTAAATTGAAGTTTAACCCATTCAGGATTTAAACAATGTTTAATTAATCGCGGAATATCTGACATCATCTATATATAGCTTCTTTTATAAAAGATAAAATAAATTATTTTAAAATTAATGTTAATTTTTTAATGATTTATAAATAAATATATTTTAATGCATCGTCTATATATAGATGTAACAAAAAAAGTTTCATTATGTAAAGGGTTTGTGAAAATTTCATACAAAATAAAAAATAAATTATTCAAAAATGTAAGACATAAATGCCTTCCTCCTTTCGTACCTGTTGTCTAAATGTCATGTTGTCATCATTTTTAAGAGAAGTTAAATAACCTGGTGACATGGTGACATAGTGACACCTTCAGTTATTCAAAAATGTATGATTCTTACGTTTACAAAAAAAGTCACACAACCCTTCATATACTACTACTAAACTCTATAAATTGTATTCAATCCAATGATGAAACAGACTAAGTATTGTGAATATATTGATGCTATAATATATTCAAATCAAAAAGTATATACTGAATGATTCAGATCATCTTCAATAGTCACTTTTTGCGGTTTTCAGATTTCTTTGAGCGATTAGACAATTCGACCATACTTATATAGATACTTCAGCTTGGGAATTACCATTATCATCGAATTTTATGCATTAATTTGCAGAAAGGTTTACTCTTATTATTTGAATTAAAACATGTGTTTAAGTGAGCATTTGGTTCTAACACACATTTATTTTTATAGTTTTCACACCTGTTGTAATAAACAGAAATTCATCAAAAGTGACAGCTCTCAATTTTTTGACATTTGTAAATTCTAAATTGAATGAGAAAAATGAAATAATACTAAGCATAATACAATATTCTAGATTTAATTATAATTAGGAAAAAGTTAGTTTTGAGAGTACTTTTCATAGGCATATAGAATGAAATCTTCTGAAAAATAATATCACATAAACTCATATTATTTTCTAATATATAACTATTTTATATAAAAATCAAATTCAATGATCTTAAAAGCGAAGGATAAACCTCAAAATTTACGAATATAATGAGTGGGAATATAATGCTTATCTATCATAAAACCATATGAAATATCAATTTTTGCTTTACGCCTAATTTTTGACGACAATTAGCAAAAAATGTTAAATGTTAACACTCAGTCCATTTGAATATGAAAAATAAAATTGACTTTGATTAAATGTTTTTATTTATCATGCAATTCTTCTTGCGACCAAAGATTTGAATAAAAGTTCAAAAAATAAGATAGCTTAAAAAATAATATACGGTAGTGTTTACTAATAGATGAATAGTATATAAATTCTATTAAAATGGATTTGATCCAAAAAATATAAAACCAAAAATAATTGTTATAATTTAAATGAGTAGGTGACAAAAGTGCATACTCTTAAATTAACCTTAAATGTTTATTTTTCGATATTTTCGGTATTAACCTTATTGTAAATTTTTCCGGTGATAAATTTATCACACTGAGGTTATTTTTCCGGTGAGATTTTTAACCTTGATTTAATGAAATTAATATATATAAATTTTATTATTTTTAATTTCGAATGAGTATAATAAAATATTTTTTTATATCGTCATAACTCTCATCACTGTTGTGATTCCAAATGCGATTATTAAGGTTCAAGTCGCTAATGTTTTGAATGAAGATAGAGCAGTAAGAATTCTTACAAGGGCAGGTAATCAGATTGTTGAGCAAAGAGCTTCAAAACACGATGAATGTTTGAAATTAATTCAACACATTTTGGAAATTGTCGAAAGCCGAAGGATTGAACCTAATGTCCTTATTCCATCTTTGAAGACAATATTAAATATGGCACAAAGAAGTTTAAAGGAAGAGTAAGCAAGATTAGATAATTTGGACTTTTTTTAAAATTAATGAATAAACAGTATATTTTTGAAGTGTAAGCTTATTTACCTGAAGCTATATTACTTAATATAACATTCAAAGTATTATTGCTATTTATTGGAGAACAAATTTATGTAATTTTCACATGAAAATTGATAATTTGTATTTCCTTATGATAATCAATTTTTGTATTTGTAGAGAGTCTCCCTGCATGATATCAAGACTTGGCTATTGGTCTTTATCCATTTTTGAAAATTGTATTGTAAATTGTAAGAATTTCTGAATACTACTACTATAAAATATAATTGCTTATCTATGTATATTCTCCCTGCATGATATCAAGACTTGGCTATTGGTCTTTATCCATTTTTGAAAATTGTATTGTAAATTGTAAGAATTTCTGAATACTACTACTATAAAATATAATTGCTTATCTATGTATATTCTCCCTGCATGATATCAAGACTTGGCTATAAGTCTCTATTCATTATGAGTATGACCCCATTTTTTTACAAAAAGTGCCGAATTGCAACTTTGTCCCAATCTCTAATTTAAATGAAGAAGTAATTTAAAACGATTTTATTTATGATCAAATTTTATATATTTTTTTGGATCAAATCCATTTTAATAGAATTTATATACTATTCATCTATTAGTAAACACTACCGTATATTATTTTTTAAGCTATCTTATTTTTTGAACTTTTATTCAAATCTTTGGTCGCAAGAAGAATTGCATGATAAATAAAAACATTTAATCAAAGTCAATTTTATTTTTCATATTCAAATGGACTGAGTGTTAACATTTAACATTTTTTGCTAATTGTCGTCAAAAATTAGGCGTAAAGCAAAAATTGATATTTCATATGGTTTTATGATAGATAAGCATTATATTCCCACTCATTATATTCGTAAATTTTGAGGTTTATCCTTCGCTTTTAAGATCATTGAATTTGATTTTTATATAAAATAGTTATATATTAGAAAATAATATGAGTTTATGTGATATTATTTTTCAGAAGATTTTGTGTTCTTCTTCAAAATTTTAGTTTTTATTAAAAAGAATCTTTACAAAATATACATTTACTTTAATTAATATTTAAAAACGTGCTCTATCAAAAGTTCCAAAAATTCAATATTTTAGTTTTTCTGAGGTGTCACTTTTGATGAATTTCTGTTTACAACACTGTAACCTGTAAATTAAAGACCCTGCTAATGAGCGTCAGTCAAATTTCAATTGAAAGAAACCGTTTCCCCAACGTCGCCTGACAGATCCAAAAACAAGATTTATAGAACTTATCTTGAATGGAATACTTTTTTAAACTTTTTTTCTAAAATAAAATTTGAATATTGTATTTTGCATTCAATTTCAATCTTCATTTAAAACCAATGTTCTCTCTTCTGATTCCGCATATATTCTCAGAATTTCATATCATTGATAGCTTTGGAGACTATAGATTCCCTTTTTCAAAAGGGAATATACAGCTTTTAGTCAATTTTAGTCAATCTTCAGATGAATGTTATGTCATTATTTCAAGTCCAATAGATGATCTGATGATCAACGGTATAAGTGTTAAATCTCATGTTCTTAAAACCACCAACAAGTACTTGGTTTGTGCAAGCAAAACTTTAGACACTTTGTCATTGCATGTAATTGATGATCCAGCTTCAGTGGATATCAGGAAATTAAGTCTATCTCCACCAGTCAAATCTATTTCGTAGAAGCAAATACATATGTTGTATTTACCAAATGGAAAGATGTAAGTTGCACTGCTCAGTGTGGTGATGCTCAAATTAATCTTCTTGGATCCACAAAATCCGTCACAATCCTCTTTAATTCCACAGGAACTCTTGAATTCCAATCATCTTCCCAAGGAAGCTGTTCATTTGTCGCTTACAATTTTACCCAAAATTGCAATCGAATTAAAACCATATCAGGATCAGGTGTAGAATCATTCACAACTCATGGATGCTTCGCATGTGCGTTTAAATCAGGATATTTTACAGTAGATGAAAATAAAAAGAATATCTTGAAAGTTTATCATGCTAGTGGATCTGAAACAAGCGAGTCTAAACTATTTACTCCTGGATATGGAAGATGTACAATTTACAAAAAGTCTACAAGTTACAAGAAACGTTCATACACAGGAGAATGTGAATTCCAAATTAAACCAGATAAAGAGGACGATTCTATACAATACAAGATCAATGATCCAAAATCGGAATACCAAGGATATTCTATTGCTTATTCATCAACCAAAATTATATATCCAGGAAATTCAAATAAGTTTTCACATACAGTGAAAATTATTGTTGGTATACTTGTCCCAGTAGTTGTAATCATTGCGGTTATCCTACTTGGCTATAGATTCTACCAAAATTCGAAGAAGAAAGAAGAAAAACGTAATAAGAAAGAATTGTCTGATGTTGATAGCAGTCCTATGCCTCAAACTCCACCTCCACCACCTCCAACGCAATACGAACAACCAGCTCCTCCTCCTCAACAACAACCATATCCACAGCAATATCCTCAGCAACAGTATCCACAACAATATCCACAGCAACAATATCCTCAGCAATATCCTCAACAGTACCCACAACAATACCCTCAGCAGCAATATCCTCAACAGTACCCACAACAATACCCTCAACAATATCCTCAGGAGCAGTATCCTCCACAATATTAATAGTTTCGCCTATTAATAAAGATTCTATTTTAACTATTCTTTTTTTTTAATTCTGATGAATTCTGTATAAGTTGCCAGAAAAAATATGCTTTCATATTAACAATTTTCCACATTTCAACTAGATAAAAAATCATCAATATTATTTAAAGTAGAATGAGAGTTGATAATCAATTTTAACAACTCTTACAAGTTTGTAAAGATATAATTTTATTCATTGATAATAGAATGCAGATAATCCAAATTCGTTATTATCAAAATAAGAAATTTATTATATTCGTAGTAAAAATATAAGTTTTTAGTAAGATTGAACATGAATACTTTACTCAGCGTTGAACTTAGCGACAGCCTTGCCACCTTCAGAAACGGCGTGCTTGGCAAGATCGCCTGGAAGAACAAGACGAACGGCTGTTTGAACTTCGCGGGAACCGAGTGTGTTACGTTCGTTCATATCGACAAGGCGGGCACCTTCCTGGGCGATACGCTCGAAGATATCTGTAACGAAGGAGTTCATGACCATCATAGCCTTGTTGGAGATACCGATATCTGGGTGGACCTGCTTAAGAACCTTGAAGATGTAGGATGAGAATGTCTCAGCACGCTTCTTGTGGCGGAGCTTCTTATCTTGCTTGGCGGCGTTAGCGGCATCAACTCCCTCGACGGCTGGCTTCTTCTCAGTTGGTGTCTTAGATGCTGGCTTCTTGGAAGACATATTGAACTAATGAAGTAAAAATTACCCCGCCAAAAAATTGAGTGAATGGCGGGATGCCATATTAAGTCCAAATTTTTTGAAAGAAAAATTGAGACACAGTCATTGAAATTATGGCGCCAAAAAATTGAGAATCATTAATTTATAATGCCAGCCAAGAAAGGTGTTAAGAAGACAGCAACAAAGACAGCCGTCGATGGTGAACGCCAACATCCAAAGACACGTTCATCCCGTGCCGGTCTTCAGTTCCCTGTCGGCCGTCTTCACAGATTCCTCCGTGAAGGCCGTTATGGTGAGCGTGTCGGTGCTGGTGCTCCAGTTTTCATGGCCGCTGTTCTTGAGTATCTTACTGTCGAAGTTCTCGAACTTGCCGGTAACGCTGCTCGTGATAACAAGAAGACACGTATTTCTCCACGCCACATCATGCTTGCCATTCGTAACGATGAAGAATTGAACCAACTCCTCTCCAACATTACAATCGCATCCGCTGGTGTCGTTCCACACATCCACAAGGTCCTTCTTGGCAATCCAAAGAAGGGAAAGGATGCCTCCCAGACACAGGAGTAAGCTAATTTTCATATTGTCATTCATTTTAAACAGGAAAACTTTAAATCTTCATACTTTTTTATACAATCAGCTTAGTTATTAATTTAACTGAAGCAGATTATAAGTGTTTTAGATACATTTTTAAGAAAGAAACTTACAAATAGGATATAGTTGTAGATTGACTTTGAAATAATAAATCAAATTTTAGAATCAAAGGGATTCAAATAGGAAATAGAAGATCAAATTCAACTTTGAATATTTACAATATAAGACAAAATAAATAATAATAAAAATAAAAAAAGTTAATTAGCATTCAAAACAAGTTGTGCGACGGCGTCATCTGTTGACTGTCTTCCGGAAGCTCCGACCATTCTTCTAATAGCAGCATCTGATCTCTGCAATTTTCCGAGTTCCTCTTTAACCTTTCCAATGAGAGATCTGAAAGAATGTTCATCAATAGCTTCAGAAGCGTTGAAGAACTGTCTGAGTTCATCAGCAGCGTAAGCGAGAATTCTTCTCTTCTCAGATTCCCATTTCATTCTATGCTCGCTTAATTTGGCTGTGAACTGAGCTTCAGCGTTCATTGTTGCACTTCTTAGTGCTGATTCACTGATCTTCTTTTCTCTTTCACTTTCTTCTTCTTTAGCTTTAATTTCTTTCTCGAGTCTGCTTATTTCGCGCTTGAGTTGGTTAACTTCCAATTTAGTGTCTTTGTGCTGTTTCTCTCTCTTATTCGATTGCTGTGTTAAAACATTTACATCAGCACGGAATTTATCGCATTGTTGCTTCATTTCAGCGATTGTTCTTTCATAAGATTCTATTAATTGTTTCTTCTCTAAAGCTGATATTTCAGTGACTTTTCTATGCGAAATATCTGTCTGTTGTTTGAGCATTGCGTACTCACTGTCTTTTTCATTGATTGCCTGTTTCTGGGTCTGAATAACTCTGCATTGTTTCTGCATTTTTGCATCTGCTTCTGTAATTGTTGCATTTGCTTTTTGTAATTCTGTTGTCAAATGCTCAATTGTTTGTTCATAATCTTGTTTCATGGAAATAATGATTTGTGTGTTGTTCTTCTTCGTTTCTTCTTCATTGTTCTTCATCAGTTTTGAAACAGTGTCAATTTTTTTTTCTAAATCTGAAACAGCTCTTCTGAGATCAGCATTTTCTGCTTTGAGTTTCTTTGCTAATATAGAATATTCTTTGTTTTGTGCAGAAACAGCTTCTAAATTCTGATTTGCTCTGGAAAGATCTGATGAAAGTTTTTCTACGTCATTCTTGTATTGGCTTTGAAGATTGGACAATTCCTGTTTGACTTCCTTGGCTCTCTTGTTGCGTTTTTCACTGATTGAGAGCTGTTGGTCAATTTGAGATCTGATGGAATTTAATTTAGTGAAAATATCATTGCTATCTGTGATTCCAAATGTTCCAGCAATACCATCGATGATGGATTGAAGAGTTTCCTTGGATCTGGTCAATTCTGTTATCTGTGTTCTGAGATATGTAACACGATTTACAAGAGAAGTAGAAACTTCATGGTATTGCAGGAATTCATCGAAGTTTGTGGCTTGGTCGTTTAAGGCGATAGATATTGAAGTAACAAAATCTGAAAGATATGTGTAAATCTTTTGATTTTGAGTATTCGTTTCTTCTGCTGAGTGATTGATACCTTCAATAATCTTTGTGTAGTAGTTTATAATAGATTTGAAGCATTGTTGAAGCTTGGAAACAGCATGAAGAGCATTGTTAGAAGCAATTCTTTGAATTCTTGCCTGAAGAGTTGCATCTCCATCAGGAATCTGCCATGAAGAAGGTGGTAATATATCTTCTTCTGTTAATGGAACGTTCTGTGAAAGTTTCTGCCTTGAATCTTGTAAATCGTATTGTAATTTAGATATTTGCTCAAACAAGACCTTCTTTTCAGCTTTAATCTTCTCAAGTTCTGTCTTAGCTTCACGTTCGCCTTGTAAAGCCTTTTCGATTTCTAGTTGAATTTCGAAAATCTTCTTTTCAAGACATTTATTAGTATCTTCCAACTGGAGAATTTGAGCTTGTTGCTTTTTCTCTTCTTTACGACGCTTCATTTCTTCTTTCTTATCATCTTGAATATCTCTGTTACGCATTGCTTCTCTAATTGTTTCTATTTCTTGTAATGCTTGGTTATGAGCAACCTTTAATGCCTGTAATTCGTTATTCTCTGTTTCTTTGGATACCTTTGACATCATAACTTCTCGTTCTGCAGCGTCAAGAGAATGCTGTAATTCATCATTGGCCTTAGTTAATGAAGCAACTTTGGCGGTAAGCTCTTCAATTCTAGAATTTAATTGCTCAGATAAGAAAGATTCTTCACAATTACTATTATCTTTCTTTTGCTGAGTTTGAACTTGTTTAGGCTGTGGTTCTGATTCAAGTTTAACCTTTAATGTAAGCTTTTCTTCTTTAATTTTAGAAATTTCGGACTTTTGAGAAGAAATTTCATCTCGTTGCCTTGATATCTCTTCCTTCAACTTTGCACTATCATCTTTGAGTAATTGAAGTTTAGATTCAAGAACTTGGATCTTATGATTTTTATCTGCAGCGCTAAGCTCATTTTCTTCTTTGATTTGAGCAATAGTAGAGTTTAATTCGTTAATTTCTCTCTGATGCTGGTAGTTAAGATTATCAATTTGCTTATCTTTTTGATTAATATTTTCACAAAGTTCATTTATCTTTGCAGCAGCGGCCTTTAACTGAGCCTTAAGCTTTCTAGCTTTCTTATCAGATGCTTGGAGTTGCTGTTCAAGCGCGACTTGTGTGAAATCGCGTTTTGGAGATTCTTGAGTCGTAATTGTAGTTTTAGTTTCTGGAGCAATTTCATTTTCAAGTATATCGCATAATTCATCAAACGAAGATATTTGGCGATTGAAATAATGTTGAGAATGAATAACGGCTTTATCAATTTTTCCAACAAGGGTCTTTTGGGCTATTTCATCCTGATCCTTTTGAGCCTGAAGTTTCTGATTTTCAGCAAAGAGTTTATCAATTTGCTGCTGGAATGATTTCTTAACTTTTGTTAATTCTTTTTGCATACTGTTGTAATCAGATTGCCTTTGTAACGAATTTCGCTGTTGTTCATCTTGAAGCTGCTTAGTAGCTTCATTTTGTGCTCTTATGCTAATTTCTAGGCGATTTGCTAAATCTTCTTTCTTCGATTTTTCGTCTATTAACTGAACTTTAAGTTCTTCTATTTGCTTATATAATTCTTTTGACTTTGCTGATAGTTGTACAGCTTGTTCAAACTGAGCGCGGAGAACGTTTAATTGTTTAATTAAAGCAACGTTATCTTCTTGAAGCTGATCGCCTCGGATTTCAGCAAGCAAATGTTCATCTGTAACTGAGTCGTTCGTTGTCATCGTTGAAACTGTTGTGTCAGGCGCTTCCGACGAAGACTCGAACATTGTATATTTGTAAACGGTATTTTTGAGCAATTGATTTTTATCTAAGTTTTCTCATTTGACTTCACAACTAAGCAGGAAATATCAGAAATTACTCAAATCCTGATCAGATGATTTGCCCGCCAAATGGAATCAAAATTTTACTTAGGAAAAGGAAACTAACATTACGAAACATCATAGAACTAGCAGTCAAAATTAAATTACAATATCATAGCTTTTAGTTGATCAATCAATATATTGGAAATGTCGACCAAATGAATTGATCTATTGTTACATTGAGAATACATTAACTTATAACCATATAATAAATTCTATACATTGATATGCTATAACCTAAGAATTTGAAAAAAAAATTATAAAAATTTGATATTTTAGTGTTTATATTAGCACGGTAAACTACTAAGTATTATTACATCAAAAATATATGAAGATCTTAGACCAATCTTACTTCTTTATACTTATTCTTGAAAGTATGTCTTGTGAGAAATGCCAGAAATCCGAGTTTACAAATGTCAATTTTTATGATTTGGGAATCAGGGACTCAGATTTTTTGCACCATAAAAAGTGACAAAACAAAGGCCATGGAAAACAAGACACCGGATTCTATTACAATTTCACCAAGAGCAATCTTTGAAATCATCAAAGACATTCAATCAGGCCGCAGTGGTTCTGATGCTCAAGGATATCTCTACGGTCTTCCAGAAAATCCAATTGAAGTCACATCCGCTTTCCCAGCATATTCTTTGAAGGCAGAGCCATCAGAAACAGCCGATGATATAGTCAAAGAGGAATACAGGAATTCAATCAAAAACTTCCAAAAAACACATTTGGAAGAACTCAAAGCTTTAAACTGCGATTATGAACACGTCGGACGCTACACATCACGTAACGTTGGTGGTCGTATTCACTTCCGTGATTTGAACCGCCAATGGGAAGAACAAGTTGAAACATCATCAGATCTTTTCACACTTGTCGTTACAATTAACGGTTCATCACTCAGCACAAGAGCCTTCCGTGTTTCAGAGGAAGCCTGCGAGTTCATGAAAGAACACGACATCAACGAAATCGGATATATCGATCCAGTTTTCTTCTACGACAGATTTGTCCAAGAATTACAGGTCACGTTCGCTTTGACAAAGCTTGATGAGGCTCTTATTCAAGAAATGCTTAGCCGCTTCAACCTCATTTCTGATGTCTTCATTCTCCGTGATATGAATGCTATGCAAGATCAGATGATTCAGATTTACGATTCTCTTGATAAGATTAAAGACGAAGTCACCAAAGCTACAGCTGATAAGTTCAAGATTGAAGAAAACCGTGCTGCAAGAAAGCAATGGGTTGACGAAAGAAAGGAAAAGAATCTCAGCCGTATCGCCCACAAGTTAGAACCACTTCCACTCGAAGATGTTGATAAGGAAATTCCTAAGCTCGATCAGTCAAGAAAACGTGATGCTATTGACAATATTTACGATTTCAAGGCTCGTGCTGATGCTATCTTAGCAGAGCTTAAGGATGAAGAGAAGAAGATCGATACACTTAGCTCACTATCCGCTCAGACTGAAAAGAAATAAATTTATTACCCAATAAAGCTGATAAATATTTTTAATATTATAATTCATTTACATTTAAGCTTTTTTTTGTCTTCAATATTTTTTTTTTGAATTCAAGAGAAATCTATTTCTAAAATCTATCCTAAAATTATTAATTCAGAGCAAATTGGATTAGAACAAAATTTTGAGTTTTATTCAAAATTTGTTAGTAGTAGGATATGACGGGTTTAGTGACTTTTTTTGTTACATCTATATATAGACGATGCATTAAAATATATTTATTTATAAATCATTAAAAAATTAACATTAATTTTAAAATAATTTATTTTTTTTATCTTTTATAAAAGAAGCTATATATAGATGATGTTAGATATTCCGCGATTAATTAAACATTGTTTAAATCCTGAATGGGTTAAACTTCAATTTAAAAATGAAGACTGTGAATTATTAAATGAATATGAAAGCCAAAATAAGCTAATGAGGTATAAATATAATGATAAAGAATATTTAATTTCATGGAATCAATGGAGTCATAATCAAAGACCTCATAAACGAGAAGAAGAAATTGAAAATAATGAAATGGAAATCATTGATGACATTAAAGAGGATGGAATTCATATAAAAATAAGAAGTCTGTTTGACCTTAAGAATGATTTATATATAAAAATAAAATAAACTTTAAAAATTCATGTCTTACGAAAAATTAAAACTTAGTTATGTTTATTATTTTATTTTTTTATTTTGTATGAAATGAGCGTCAAAACTAACAACGTTAAAAAATTAGGATTCACAAACGGGGAAATAAAGGATATATTGTTGCATGCTAAGTTCGGTCAACGATAGAAATTGAGTGGAAATTAATCGTCGAGGAAGTACGATTATGTAAAGTAAAAAATGTTGTGGGATTTTTAATATTATATATTATTTTATAATAAAAATTTTTTGAGTCATTTTAAGAAGCACATATAATTTTTTGAATTTAAAAATTAAAGTAGTGTCAAACAAATTTATCACTTAATTTAATACTCAGATTTCTTAAAATTAATGAAAAAAGGTTTTCTGAGAACTTTTGAGAATGGTTTTCAAATTCCATTATTGAAAATATATAGGTATTGTATGAAATTCAAACTCTATATTTATTAAAATTCTAAATTTTTAATAAAATAACTTTTCAGAGGATATGATTTTGAATGGTTGATTAATAAGTATAAAAATGTCTACGATTTTAAGGAGGGAATTGTTCCTTATGAGATATACATCATAACTATATACCTCATAAGGAACAATTCCCTCTTGATAGCTGGGAAACTTTCTCTGAATAACTTATCATTTGGAGAAAGTTTCCCAGCTATCTATTAGAAACTAAAGGCTGTGAGGCACTAATATATAATCAGTGCCTCATAGCCTTTAGTTTCTTATTAAAAACGAGAAAACTTGTTCGAAATGATAAACAATTTCGAACAAGTTTTCTCCTTTTAAGGAGGGAATTGTTCCTTATGAGGTATACATCATAACTATATACCTCATAAGGAACAATTCCCTCTTGATATCCTGGATATTTTTGAATATATTTTTTTAATTAAAGTTCTCAAAAGTATTATCAAAAGTGATTTTTTAAAAATATCTCCAATTAATTAACTAATTAAAAGTATTATATTTTTAAAATTAAATAGTTTTTCAATTTTTTTGAAGGAATTGAGATACTTCCCACGACAATAAAATTGAGAGGTTTACATTATGACTGATCTTAGCATGCAACAATATTAGAGGAGGTGGGTTATGAAGTTGATAAATATTATTTAAGAAATTGTCAAAAATTTGCCGAGTTATTAAATGATTTAGATTATGATGGAAAAATGAATAAAGATGATGTTATAAATTTCTTATATCCCACATCTGAAGAAGAAAAACCTAAAGAACCTGATGTTTTCCCCGAATATTATGAAGAACGGATTAAAGATGATGAATACAATGAAATTGAAAGACTGGAAAAAATAAGAGATGAAATAGATGAAAAAATTAAGGAATTAAGAGAAGTTGAAAAATATAATGAAAATGAAGTAGAGGGTTTAATGAATATCCCAGCTTCAGAATCAGAAGTACAGAAATCTCATGAAGAAAGATATAAAAATTATGTCTCAGAATCAACACAAAATTTATTAGATGGTGAAATAGACGAAACACTTTCAGAAGAAGGTACTAAATTTATACGTAAACATAAGTTACAATTTATTGATAATGAAGAATACCCCTGTATCCTACTTTCACCACCTTTAGATTCCGAAAAATTCAAAAAAGCTCTTAAAAACGTGACATATGCAACTAATACGATTAAGAAAGAAGATCATGATATTTACACAAATTATTATTTAAATAAATGCACGGGTGTTGATAAAGTTTTTGGTTTATTAGATAAAATATCAAAAGAAACCATTGGAACATATAAAATTTTATGTGATTGTGGTTTCATTGTTGAAGATACTAATAATGTTTCATATGAAAGAACAGCACCGAAGGAAGATGAAGTGGAAAGGTCTATACCATTCGTTATTAAGAATATAAAAGATATGAAAACGTATAAGCATTATATTTATTCATTTATTTCAGAAAAAATGGAAGCAACCCATAAAACATCTTCTCATCATTTTATAGCTATTCATACATTCCTTTTCAAAGTTGTGAAATTAAATAAGACAGGAATTAGATTTAATGTATCAGGGTACGCATTCTTGAGTAAATTAAAATGTATTCGTCACGTCGCGGATGATAAAAATTTATGTGTTCTTAATTCATTTTATGGGCTTTAAAAAATAAACTTTATTTTTATTTATTTTTTAATTTTTTATTCTTACATAAATGAACAAAAACGGAACAGCTAAAATGAATGATAATCAAATTAGAGCAGAAGGTAGAAGGTTATTTAAACGCTTCTATAACATTCCTGATGGTGTTAATCCTAAAACTCGTAGAAACTATTTAAATGAAGCAATAGATGCATATGAAGGGTTTGACATTTCATCAGAAAGTGAGAGATTAGCGAGAATGTTAAATGTTAATATTGATTTCTATTATTGTGATCCTCAACCAGAAGACGTGGAGATAAATAAGGTAGACTTTCCATTAGTGGAATCAATAATGATAGATCCAGAATTTGAAACAGTAAATATTTTATTAACACAGAGTCCATGTGGAAAACTTCACGCTGACAGAATAACAGACGTTGAAGCACTCACCGGCTATAAAGTTTGTCCATTTTGTAAAGAAGAAGTTTATTCTATCCGTGATGATCCAGAAAGGAAAAACCAAAGAAGATTTTTAAAGCATTGTGAGAAATGTAAAGAAAATAATGGAAGATTAATTCAAGACGTTCAGTTGCAAAAGACACAGCAACCATATGCACCACATATTACGAAACAGAAGATATATCAGTGGTTATTAGCTCACAATTTGCAGGAATATTATCAACCGACAAGATATTATATTACTTTTGACTTCGAAACATTAGAGACTAAAGAAGAATTACAACTTTCTGAGTGTGCAACTTTGAACGCTTACTTAAAACCATTCATGGTATCATCAACAGTTAAATTAAATGATAAAACGTATACGAGGAATTTTTGCTTAACTTCGAGTGATTCTTTTATTTCTGATTGGATTGAGTTTTTATTTTCAACCTGTTCATTAGTTGCTAAATCAAATATTGAACAATATGAAGAATTAATGAAGCCGCAAACGGCGGGGACTTTGTCCCATACATTAAATGAAAAACAGAAGGAAGCATTTAAAGAACTTCTAGATGAGGAATTCAATAAAGTGAATATCATAGGTTTTAATTCGGGAAAGTTTGATTTAAATTTAATTCTTCGTGATTTAAACACTGCAAAATGGAAAATAAAATCAATGCTGGGTTCATCTTCACAATTTAAAAAATCATTGTAAAGAAAACAAACGTTCCATATGAATTGAGATTTATTGACATCAGAAATTATATAGCGGGTGGGACATTAGACCAATTCACTCAAGATTTCGGAAACAATAAATCACGTGTTAAATCCTTTTTCCCTTATCAATTCATCACGTGGGAAAATTACGAAGAAGAATTATATAAAGTGGAACCATTCACTCAAGATTCATTTTATTCGGCATTAACTCAAGAAACTATATCAGATAGTGATTATCAAATATATCTCAATGATGCTAAAAACTTTAAGAATAGATTAGAATATTTTATTCATTATTGCAATAAAGATGTTGAAATTATGATTGACCCAATTGATAAAATTATTGAAGAAACATTTGTTTATAAAATTGACACGCTTCATAATCTTTCTTTATCATCGAATGCTTCAATGATTCGTTACGCTTTAGCATATAAAGACTTTAATCCTAATGAAAAATATCCCGAGGAAGAGATAGAATCAAGTTTTGAATTAACGAAAAAGTATTGGAAATATAAAACTGAATCATATAAGAAACAAGATGAAAAAACAGAAAGAGATACTAAAAATAATGTTTCAATGGATGATTTTCAATACTATCACGATTTAATCCTTTCATCTAAATGCAAAATGTGTGGTAAAGCGTTTACATATGCAAATAAACCAACATTGGATAGAATCGATAATGAAAAACCACATACCAAAGAAAATTGTCAGTTAATGTGTTGTTATTGCAATGTCGTAAAATCAAATAAAGATGAAGATGTTCAACGTTTAAGAATCAATTTAAGAAATTATGCATTAAAAAATAATTTACCAATGACTTTAGATTCAGTTGAAGCTTATCACATTCTCCGTAATGGAATTACTGGTGGTCTATCAAATGTTCAACATAGAGTAAATCTTAAAGGAATCACGCACATTAATAAAACTTTCATATAGTCCAGAAACTAAAACTGTATCAAATGAGGACACCACCAACATTATGACTCATTTCGTTGGTGTTGATTTTAATTCATTATATCCTTCATCATTTTCATCTAATCCTCATGATTTCATTCAATATACTGACCATAAAATGTATATGCCGGGAAGATTGAATGGTGTTATCATTTGTGATACAGCAACAAAGAAAGCAAAAGCACTGGGAATTATTAGAAAGAAAAATACTTTATTCGTGGCTGAAGTAAAGGGTCACATTGATGAAAAATACATTAATGATTACATAAACTTTTTACCGATAATAAGAAACTTAGATATTATCACAGATGAAAAAACAATTGGTAGTTTTATGTATAATTACATGAAATCAAACAATCTACCAGTTGACCAGAAACAGAGGAAATTAACTCAGTTAGCATCAACACACAAACGATATCAACCATTTTCTTCTTATTATCTTTGGTATCTAATAGACAGATTTCATTTTATCATCGATGATATTCAATCAATTTTAACATTTACTAAAAACACTTGTTTTAATGAATTTGCGAACGAATTTATGAACGAAAGACAAAAGGCTGAATTAGAAGGAAATAAAGGAAAAAGTTTATTTTGCAAGATTTCGCTTAATGGATCATATGGTTACGATGCAATGAATACACAAAATTACGCAAAGACTAAAATAATGAATGCACAGAAGGCACGCGTTGCATGTATGTCAAATAAGTTTAAAAACATAAGAGAAATAGGAGAGGATACGTATCAAGTGATGCTCAAAGATAGATTTTATAGATGTGATACATGTTTACAAGAGGCATTCTTCACTTTAGATAATGCTAAATACTGGTATTTGGTTTTCATTTATGATTTTATGTATAAATGCATGAATCTTAATCGTTTTCATTTCATTGAAGGTGATACTGATTCATCTTATTGGGCTATTGCTGGCGACCCAAATCTTCCTAACACTCAAGCATTTCAAGCGATTGTAACCGATAAACAATTTTATGATAAAAACATTTTCAAATTCGCACCATTTGATTTCTTCTGTTTTGATGAGAAATTTAAACCTAAATTAAAGAATAAAGCTGAAGAAAAAGCACATGAGAAGAAGTTATTGGGTTTAGCAATTGAGAAACAAGGTGATAACATGGTTGCTTTATGCCCCAAGTGTTATACATCATTCAACGGTTCAATTGATGGAAGTGATTTTAAAAAGATTGCACAAAAAATGAAAGGTGTTAGTTTACGACAAAATAAACAATTAACACCTAAAAATTATTTGGATATAATAAATGATAAAGTGATATTTGATGGTCAGAATATTAATTTACAACTTAAAAACGAGTCAATGACTCGCTTAACAATCGGTAAGACTGCATTAACAGGAGCACACACTAAGGCTGTATGTTGTGAAAATGGATGTTGTATGCCATTTATTTAATAGAATTTAAAAACGTAGGGGTTGAGTCATGAATTTAAAATTTTATTTTTAATAAAATGCCACAGAAGAGACAAAAGGAACCGTTAATGATGCGATTCAATATGTAAATAATGGTTTTGATACTATGATTCAAAGAGGTGGGCACCCTTAAAACATTTATTTTATTTTTATATAAAATGGATAATGTAGATTTAGAAATTTTAATTGATGATTTAGTATTTTATCAAAATTTTCTTGATTATTACGATTTAAAAGCATATCTCCAAAAACATAATAACAATATAACGGGTGATGATATGGGTTATTATTATCGGTATTATAAAAATGAAATTTTGAAATATCATGATAAAATAATTTCTAAAATTAAAGACAAAATTAAAAATAATGATATACAAAGGGAAAAACTAAATCACAACTTAAACAATTGAAAGATTTCAAAAATAAAGTATTAACAGAAGAAGATATTGATGAATTATATAAATTATATAATCCTGAGCCGCAAAAGCCAAAGGAACAAAAGCCAAAGAAGAAAAAGCCGAAAACAACACCAAAAGAGAAAGTAGCAAATGTTCAACAGCTAAAGGTGCAAAACACCCAGGTCCTTCAGACCATAAATGATGCACAAGCTTTAATTTATGATTCATTAGTTAAACCATATTCAGCCCGACTTTTAAATGAAGATCAACTTTTGGAATTCATCCTTCAACATAAACTCGAAGCGGGAAAGTATATCAAACCTTTATATACAGCATATTTAAAACAAATGAATAGAATACATCCAGAATTAATGAAAGGAGGAATGAAATCCAAAACTTCATCATCCAAAATCAAAGCAGATAAAATTAAATCACTTGCAATACCAAAACCTCCAACAGTAGTACCTCCTCCTTCAGTTAATCCTTCATCATTCACTTTATTATATCCATTTCAAACATTAAAGAAGCAAAAAGATTTTAAAAAGGATTTCAAAATATTAAATAAACCAACCGACCCAAAAATTCAACCGTTAAAGGAAAAATTTAGTCGCCCTTCATTTGCTCCATATCCATATTCATACGAAATCGATCATCTGGAATATTCAAAAGGAAACGTTACTTATTTATTTGCCATTAACATTAACACCAGATATTTATATTGCATTCCGGTGAAAGGGAAAACAGAACAGGAAACAAGAAGAGCTATACAATACTTACTAGATCATGAAAGAGTAGATAATATAAGGGGTGATGGTGATAAAGGATTTCAGGCAGCTATGGCTCATTATTTCCCACAAATTAATTTTTACTTTTCATCCTCTCCATATACGTTTCATAATAAAATAGTTGATGCGGTAATGAGAACTCTTAGAGATGCGTTAGGGGTTAACGGTCAGATATACTGGGATGGAAATCATGACTCCATCATACAGCAGTTAGTATATTATTACAATAATACATGGCATTGAACTATAAACATGAAACCAGTGGAAATGAAAAATGATATTTCAAAAGAATGGGAATATATTAGAAAGCAAATGGAAAGGTTGAATGATGTTAAACGTGAACAAATTAATTCGGGGCTCATGAATTTTAAACAAGGGGATAAAGTTTTGATTCATCTCGATTATGGAAAAACTAATAAATCAATGACAAAAAGAAGACGAAGATTTGACACAATAGCTGAATTTGTTAGATATATTAACGGTAATGTATTAGTTGAAGTTGACAATAAATTAATAGAAATTCCGATTTATTTTATTACTCCATTATATTTAAATAATATTTAATTTTTTTATTTCGTAAGAAATGAGTGACAACAAAGCATCCAAGAGTCCTGATTCAATTAAGATTCAGAGTCCAGACGATGAATATAAAAAGAAACTAAACAGAATTAAATCAAAAATATGCTATTACAAAAAGAAGCCGCAATGTGGTGGGGCTGAAAACGATAAAGAGAGGAAAGAAATAATCGAAAAATTAGAAACTTACCGTTCAATCCTTAAACTGAGTGAAGCAAAAATAAAAGAATTTAATAGAATAAATAAATTGATTGGAAGAGATGAATTTAATAAAGATGAATTTTTAAACTCAATCCAAATTTAATTTTTTCAGTGCTACCATGTTACCATGTGCTACCATGTCAATTAACTTCTCTTAAAAACGATGACAACATGACATTTTGACAACAACACAGGAAATAAATGTTATCGTTTATGTTTTCATTAATGATTTTAGGTTATTCAATAATTAATTATTTTTGAATAACTGAAGGTGTTACTACGTCACCATGTGTCACCAGGTTAATTAACTTCTCTTAAAAATGATGACAACATGACATTTAGACAACACAGCAGGATTAATGCAAAAATAAATTCAAACTTCATCGTATATGCTTTGTGAATGTCTTACAAACACGTATGAATATCTTATGCGGTGGGAAGCCAGATGGAAATAATTTTACGTCAAATATGCAATTTATAAAATCTTATGTCGACAGGCTACGTAGCACATGGTAACATGGTAGCAGTGAAATAAAATTTTGTTATCAGTTATTTTATCATCATTTTATTAAGTTCATCTTTAGTTAATAATTTGAATGGATTCGCTAATGTTCCACCTTGAGTCACAACACTTGCCCCGGCTAATTGTGAAGAACCTGGGATAAGTACTCCATGAAATGATTTCATTGGTATCATTAATTTAGAAATAGTTGGCTTAATTAATTTTGTCATTTATGATAAAAATAAAATTGCATAATTTAAATTTTTTTCTTTCTCATTTTCTCATTTTCTCATTTTTCATCCTGTTTTGGTTTCAGCAACTTTTCAAGTTGTTGTCTTGTCAGTAACTTTAATTTTAACTTTGGATCAAATATTGGGTTTCCATCTTTATCTCTTCCAATAACACCATATGGTAGAATCTTCATTTATACTAAAATAAAAATTTAAATTATGCCGTTCGCTCTTTTGGAGCTCAGGATTTTCAGTCCGTTCTAAAGTTTGTTTCACAAACATTGAACGTTCATTGAACGCGAAACCATGCGAATACAGTCATAAATGGTGGCATATAATCTTCACCCGAGCCTGTTGGATTTGTTGTGAAAGTGTGTGAATGATTTCCTCCTGGTTCAGTTTGTCGAAAAGTCTTTTTTGTTGAATCGTTATAAGATGGAGATAAAACGTCATAACCAGCTTCATAGTCTGAGTTGTATAATGGGTGGTCTCTTAATGAGTGTCTATGGTTGCCAGAAAAGTTTGTAGTTCCCGTATGAGTGTGCGGTGGAAGGTTTGCTTCTTTAATTTTCTTCGAACCTCCTGTTTGCTTTGAATATCTAGCACAGTATAAGAATTTGTCTACAATCTGCTGCCACGTATCAAAACCTAAAACTGTTGCTGGATTTGTTGAATTCATTGACGTATAAATAGAACCAACGGGATATAATGTTTGAAGTATTTCATTTTTCATGCTTGTAATCACATCATTTACTTCCGACTTCTTTGCATAATTTTCATCAACATAAGTTTTATCTGCTTTAAGGTCTAAACATCCTGAAACCCATTCTGTATCAGCTTTAACTTTAAAAGTCTCAAATGTCCATTCCTTATCCGCCTTCTTCTCTAACTCATCGTTAACATAAGTTTTATCTGCTTTAAGGTCTAAACATCCTGAAACCCATTCTGTATCAGCTTTAACTTTAAAAGTCTCAAATGTCCATTCATGATACCATTCAACCTTTTCTTTAATTTCATTATCTTTTTCATCAACATAAACCAAATTTGCCTTCTTATTTAACTCACTATCCACATATTCCTTATCTGCTTTCTTCATTATGTCGTTTAGGAAACCTTCTATGAATTCCTCATTTAAATTAAATCTTCCAATCTTCAAAACTTTAGGAAATGCATTTAATGCGTAATATCTCTGTTCTTCTGGTGGAATTGATGTTATATCATCCGTTATTCCTTTAATTTTTGAATTCATAAATAAAATTTCTTTTATATTTGATATCACTGCACCACCTTTGCAAACGAATTCGAAACGGTCATTTTTCAATACTATCTCCAAATCTCCATATTTCAACCTTTGCGTTTGTTCTACCGTCTTTGAATTATATGCATATATGGCGTATGTAATGGTCTGAAGGACCTGGGCGCTTTGCGCCTTAAGTTGTTGTGGTTGCTGTTGTTTAATCATTTATTATGATTTAAAAATAAATATTTAATCCGTTATCTCATCAGCTATTTTCTCTATTTGAAATTGCCATAATATTTCATTCATAAATTCTAAATCACAATCAAATAGGTCAGTTATTCTAAATTTAATATTTGATAAATCTTTTGAATGAAGAATAAATGAATTCCCGGATAATTGAAACGGATATGATAAAGAAAATATGTTTAAGTTGATGGATAAAATGTTTTGTATTGATGGGTAAGAGTTAGGGTCTAATGTTTGATGTGAAAATCTCATTGGGGTATTAACTTTATCACATTTGATTAAAATGAAATTGGAACCAGTGTCAGAATACAAAACATCCCCAACATCTTTTTCAAAATTTAATATCCCCAACAATGAACGAAGATGAGGAGTACAAAATTTAATTTTCAGCGGAAATTTAATAAGGTTATTTATTTCATCAAGTTCAAAAAGTTTATCAGGTTTTGATTTAAAATTTTCTTCATACCATACGATAAATGATTCATTTAAATAACTTAAAATCGTGTTAATATCCCATTTCGCTATCACATTATTTATATACATATCATACGTTTTTCAAGGTCATCTTTAATAAATGATATATAATCTGAAGGGTCTAAAAGAATGGGATTAAATTTACCACTCACAGAAACGAGAGTAACATTATAAATTCCGCTAACTGTTAAATTTAATTCACAGTTATTATTCGAAATAATATTGATAATTGACATTTTTTATTACAATTAAAAATATGGTAAAGCGTTATTTTCCAGTGATAAATAAAACTAGAATAAGATTACCTCAAGAATTCATAAATTCAACGAATAAGAAATTCATTCATGTTATAAATTTTAGTGTTTTCAGAAAATATGAGTCAGTGTCATATTCATCAACAGGTTATATTTCACTTCATTCAAATTTAGTTCAATCAAACCCATATAATGACCATTTCATAAGATTTTCAGATGGTATTAAAAATGTAATTGATAGATTAAAATATGAACAGATTGACAATATCGAATTTTTGGAATTTTGGTTTAAATATCCCGATGGAAAAAAGATTGAAGTTAAAGATAAAGCTGATACTATAACAAAAACAATTACAATGACCGATCCAGATAGTGGGGAACAAAAAGAAATAAAACAAACGATAGAAACTGGTGAAAGGTCAATTATTATTGATTATGATTCAAAGGATTATTATTCGATAATGTTAATGCTTGAATATTAAATAGCCTTAACAAAGAATTTTTCAAGTGATTTTTATATTCATCAACTATTTTATTATAAATATCATTATATGTTAAATGAAGTTCAGTTGTTGTTCCGTTCTTTGATATCTTAATTGTGCTAATATCCTTTATAGGATTTATTTTTGCAACTGTTCCGCAGCATGAAACCTCATCATCTATGAAAAATTGAATCTTAACGTCTGAATCTTGAACATCACAAAGAATGGCGATAATGTGAATTAATGATTCATAAGGTAAAAATAATTAAACCGGATTGGTCAATTAAATTTATTATTGAATCATAATTATTAATTATTATATCACGGTAAATTTTCATTAATTTGAATTAATGTCTATTTTATATGGGTTCTCGATGTTTGATGAAAGAGGTGGGGGGTATGCTGGATAAGTGGGAATTTCAACAGGTTCTTTACCGGGTTCAGATAAAATGATTGGGTCTCCATTCTCATGGTTTTCTTCATTCTCCTCATTCTTCGGTAAGTCACGAGTTAATAAATTTGGTTGAGTTGCTGACCTTGTTAATTCGGGGCTAACATTAACTTTAACATTTTGAATAATTCGTGATTTATCATCATTTACGTTATAACCAACCGTAATCTCTGCTTTTGCGTTAGTGTTCTTTTGACTAGTGAAACGTCTTCTCATTTATATTCGAATAAAAAAATATATTTAAACTTTTATTTTGCTGGAACTTTTGAATCTATTATTCCCTGTATTTGTTCATGAAGTTGATTTTTGGCTGTTTCATCGTAATTAATAGACCGAATATATTCATTAATTGCATTCTTATAATCATCTGATTTCTCAAATTTTCTTTTATCTGATTCCTTAACTAAATCATAAGTTAAACCTCGTTGCTGATATAATGGTTTCTTAATTAAATCTTTGAATGCTTGAGATAAAGCCCTGATGCAATTCTTGCTACTATAATTGGTTGGAATTGCTGTTTAAGTTCATCTTTAACATTTGCGAAAACTGGATCGAATAAAGCAACTTTAAAGAATTTCTTAGCTGAAATTTCAGGTCTAAATTTGCATATTGACCATCAAACTGGTTAGAATATCGTGGTAATCCATCCGGTCCCTCTTCAATAGCATTTAATTCTTCATTGAAATAAGAATATGGATTATGACGGTATGAATTAATTGGACCATTTTCACCTTCTCCAATGTATTGTTTAACAGCTTTCCATTTTCATCAAATTGCATAGGATAACGTTCATTATATGCTTTACGTTTAAGATAATCAGATATAGTTAATTTATAACCATTTATGACTTTAATATTACCTTGACCATCAGTAACGAAAACTTCATTTATACCATCAGGGTTTTCCATTTGGACCCGTAATGTCTGCTTCGTGTGCTTCCCAATTTGGACCATGACGTTTGGCATATGCTTGAGCTTCTGGTAATGTTAAAACGTTTCTCATTTGTTTAACATCTTTTTGAAGACCAGCAACAATATGAACTAATTCTTTCATTCCATCAGGAACTTTCATAGTTCTATTATATGCACCCCTTTTGTTTGTCCCTTGTTTTAATGGAACCTGTAGAAGATTTACCATTTCTGTCATGTTTAATTATAAATAAAAATAAAAATTAATTATAAAAAGTTAATCAAATTTAACACTTCCTTTATTTAAATCAACTATTATTTTTCCATGTTCACCTAATTGCTGATATTGTGTGTAAAGTTCATTAATGCTCATTGGTAAATTCACTTGATAAAGCATAACGTTTAACTGTTGACGACTAAACCCACTGAAAATGAAAAGTGTTGATAGATTTGATTTAATGTTTGTGCTTAATGCTTTGAAATATTGAACAGCCATAAAGAATGAACACTGAATGTGTCGACATTGAGTTAATAACTGATTAAAATATGATTTCTCATTTGTTATTAGTTTTGATTTCACTGCATCATCTAGAAAAATGAGTGAATGCAAAAATTCTCTATCAAATTTGAAATAGAAAGTGTTTCAAATAATTCATCCCGTTGTTTATCAATAATTTTATCCTCTAATCCTTGCTTCTTGATTGTATTATATAATTCTTTATACATTAAAAAGTTTTTTAAATAATCTTCGCTTCTTCTTGTGATAAATAAATAATTGGAATTTTGATTAAATGCTTTAAAGATTCAAATGTATCATCTGAAGGTGAACCTGAACGGTTGATATAAATTAACACATGTGAATGGGGGGAAGTGTTAGCAATAATGATAATTTGTTTTAATATCGTTAATGTTTTACCTTTATTTTGTTTACCAATTGCTGCAGTGATTGAATTTAAGTAACATTCAGAATATGGAATTTTCATTAATTTTTCCTTAGATAGAGCATTTCTATTATCACTCAATGCTTCATTAATCATATCATCTACGTATGTATTATATACTCCTGCTAATTCTTCATAAGGGGTGGATGAATTTAAATCCATTTAATCAAAAATAAATTTATAATTTTAAACATTTCTATTCATCAATATTTCATCATATGAACTTCTATACTGCAGTGGTGTACCTGTTGGATGATATTTCAAACCTTCATCCGGTGTCCATGTCCAATATGTAGTCCTAGTAAACCAAACCTGAGGAGGATTTGTCACCTTTGAACAGTAAGTGTCATTTTCACCCTGAATGATTGGATAAGCTTTCACTTGTACTGTAACTTGTGAGTTGAAAGTTTCTAATCCATCAAAGAATATACCCGCTCCATCACGTTGAACTGGAATAGTGCATAAGAATGAAGTTTGGTCTTTCCATGTTCTAGCTAATGGCATGCCATCATCATCATTCAGTGGTCTAGTTAATGAGTCCTCGTATTCTTCCGTGCTTTCATTCACTCCATCTAAATCAGAAGCTTGAAGCATACGTGTAAAGAATATGTCACCCACTGTGGTCATCGCTTGATCGGGGAAGTTTCTGGAATCTATAGTGACCTGAAGACCTCGAAGCATTGGATTTTCTAAAACCGTTCTTTGCATTGCATTCTTCGGAAATGCTAACACAACATCTGTAACATTATGAAGAGCGTATGAGAAATCTGAGCTAATACCTTCAGGAGTGATGCAACCTCCATTTAGTGAACGAACGTCAATATGTTGAGCTGGAATCATGAATGGATCTTCCTTACTGAATAAACGTGGTATTGCTTTAACTGATTCTTCAATTAAACCGTATCCTGGTGTAATGCATTTATCCTCTAAAACTTCATCTTTGTGCATGAAATAATAACACCATCAACTATTGCGTCAGCAGATGTGGCGGCTAAGCTTGTAATTAATTTGGCAGGAAGTCCGATTTGTTGGAATTTGCGATCATATTTATAAACATGATTCATAATCTTTTCATAATTTTCATCAGTTATCTTTTCATAAACGTAATTTTGTAAATCAGCAACTCTTAACGGGTCAACCTGACAAAATACTAAGTATCCCTGAAAACATAATATTTAAGAATGATATCACCAAATGATTTAGGATAATCATCGAACGCCTGAAATGCTAACAAATCATTTACCGGAATAATCATATCAAAAGTGACATCAACTTCTTCATTTGCTTTCTTGAAAACTTCTGAAGGGTCAATATATTTACCACATACTGAGTTATCATATTTTTGAACATTATTATATAACGAATGAACAAACTTTTTAACTTTCCTTTCTGATTTTGGTTTATATGTTGCAAATGCGAAAGATTCACGGGCGCAATCCATCTGAAGATAACCGGCATCACCTCTTTCGGTTTCTACTTCTAATTGTTTAAAGCTTTGATTTGATGATTTGTAACCAACGAATAAACGCATACATTTAAAAGCGCGCATCACATGTGAAAGCTTTATTTGAAACTAGAGTTGCTTTAACTTTGCGTTTAATATATGTGTCACCTAATTGGTTCACAATGAGCTGGATTTGTAATTCTTAAATGAGTTTGTTTATCATCAAAATATGGAGCATCAGAGTCATAGCATGAACTTTCAGTTCTCTATAATATCTTCTACCGTCATTCTTTGCGAATATTTCATTTATCTTTTCGAATGAATGAAATACATTTCCATTAATTGGTTTAGTGTTTGGCACCAAATAGTTAGTCGTCATTTATGATGAAATAAAAAAATCAAAATTAAAAGATGAAAATGAATTTTTAATTTTAATGAAATAATCAACTATGGCTGCAGGTATATTTAAGAAACTATGGGATAAAGTAAAAAGAGGAGCGAGTAAAGTTTGGGAAACATTGAAGAAGGGAGCAAATTGGATATTTAAGAATAAAGAAGCAATTAGTGACGTTGCTGAATCAATAACACCAAAAAGCTGCCCATAAGAGAAGTTTTAAATAAAGGAGAAAAAGTTTATCAAAGACTACAACCGATACTAAGATAAAAATAATTTTAAAATAATTTATTTTTCCACTATCTACCCCCTATTTTATTAAGTATTCCTTCAGCTATTCCACCAATTGCGTTACCTGCTTGTGCTCCCATCACCGGATTACCTGCTTTAGTACCTAATACTCCACCTATGATAGTTCCTGCCGTTTTCGCTACTGGTGCCAAAAAGTTTGCAATGGGTTTAATAATCTTTTTATGAACCCAACCCACAGCTTTCTTAATTCCATCCCATAATTTTTTAAAGAATCCTGCAGCCATTTCTGATTTAATATTAATTAAAAAAATATATTTCATCACTTATATTCTAATTTTTATTTAATGATAAATGAAACCGATTTTAAAAATAAATGAAACAGAGGAGGAAGAAATAAATGAAAGTGAAAATGTTCAACAAAAAATAAACGTTGTTAAACCAATTACTGAAATAAAAATTTTTTCATCTGTTGAAGAATTTAATGACTATTATGCCAATAATAAAAAATTATTTGAAGAATTGACAACGTGTAAATTGAATAAAATGTTTAAAGTTGATGGATTCAAAATTTCAAAAATAAAAGGAGTGGTTAGTTTGAAATCTATTCCTCAATCAAGAATCACCTCATTAATGAAAATTGATGATTTAACAAAAAGAATAGAAGAGATTGAAGAAAGAATGAATCAAATAATTGGTTTCATAAATTCAAATAATCATTAGTTTCTAATTTCTTTTACTCGTTTATGAAGTCTTTGATTATGACTCCATTGATTCCATTCAGGATTTAAACAATGTTTAATTAATCGCGGAATATCTGACATCATCTATATATAGCTTCTTTTATAAAAGATAAAATAAATTATTTTAAAATGATTTTTTAAAAAAATTTTATTTTTTATTTCATTATGTATGGGCTGAGTGTAAATGTCTTACAATTTTGAAAATTTTTTAAATCTTGATTTATTCAAAAATGTAAGAATAAAAACCGTAAGAATCATACATTTTTTACTTCATATGTTAAAAAAAATGATACAAAATCGCTCGATATTGTATGAATTCTTACGTTTACAAAAAAAGTCACAAAACCCGTCAACATATACTACTTTTGTTATATTCAAGTTTTACTCACAAGCAATCCAGAAATTATAAGACTTTCATGCAATGTATCCGTCATGTGATCAATTAATAAAGAATTTTCAGTAAAATGGTGAAGAATAATGAAATAATTTCTCGATAAATGAACAGTTATTGATTATGAGCATTGATAAGTCAAGGTGATTATGTTTCATCAATCAGTACTAATCAAAATTGAATAATTTTGGTGATACCCCCTATTTAATTTGTATACGTTATTCTATATATGAGTACAAAACCACGCAACCAAAAGGGAAAGGGTGAACTTACAGAGGAACAGAGGGCAGAAATAGAAGAAGCATTTAAACTCCTTGATTTTGATGGCGATAATTACATTTCAACAAAAGATATCAAAATTGCATTACGATCTATTGGTTTTGAGCCAACAAAACAAGAAATTATTCATATGATTGGAGACCTTGATCCTAATTCAAATGGAAAAATTTCATTACCACTTTTTATCCAAATGATGACAAAAAAGAGAGTTGAAATGAATCCAGACGAAGAAATTAGAAGGGCTTTCAAATTATTTGCAGATGAATCAGGTGAAGGAATTCGTGCAGCAGATATCAAAAGAGTTAGTATCGAATTAGGAGAAACTTTAACAGACGAAGAACTAAAAGATATTGTCGAAGAAGCAGATAGGGATAATGATGGAATTATTACTTTTGAAGACTTTGCAAATGTAATGCACAAAACTTCAATGTTTTAGTCAGAAAGTCTATAACCTACACTTCTTTTACAATTTAACTACTGCATTGTATAATTTTTGTTGTTGTATTATTTGATGATATTATCTAAAATTGGTTTTTTATCATATTATTCTTTTATATGTTAAGATAGTTACTATATACATTTCAGCTATTCATAAATATTTGCCTATTTTTAAAGGCCATTTCTTTCTTTACATATCTATGTATTAAAGATTAAATTTACACACCTACAAAAAAAAAAAAAAAAAAAAAGGTAGTGGGGCCTCCAGGCACTTCGTGCCCTCTAGCCCCTGAAGATGTTTAGTATAAAATGAAGTATAAAATGAGGTTTTTTTGGGTATAGGGGGCTTCCCAGGGGCTGCGCCCCTTCTAGCCCATAAAATTTTTGAAAGTCGTTGCTGTTGACTTTTCGGTAAAAAAAATAGTACAACTTTGTCCGGACAAGTAAGGGTCTATCGTCGCTACAGGAAAAGTTACGGGCGTTCCAAGGAAGTATACTTTGAGAAGCCTTTTGTCACTTTTCAGGTAAAACATTTTTATTATTAGATATAAAATGAATTTTACAAAACCACCGTTACCCTTCTTTGGAAATAAGAGTAGATGTAAAGATATTCTATTGAGAGAACTTAAGAAACTACCGAATGGTCTAACATTTGTAGACTTGTTCGGTGGAAGTTTCTATATATCCCATTTGTGCCATACAATATTCCCAGACTCAAAGATTATATGCAATGACTTCGACAACTATATGAACCGTCTCAAACATATACCAGACACAAACAAAATATTGAGTGAGTTGAAAGAAAAGATACCTATAGGTAAGATGGAACGTATACCATTAGATAAGAAAAATATTGTCAGAGAGGTTTTGAAAAAAGCAGAGTATATAGACTGGGATAGTATATCTGCTAGACTATTATATAGTGGTTCTATAAGAGTTCATGACATTGAAACACTTATGTCAAACGTTTTATATCTTAACTATACAAATGTTTTCAAAGAGAACATAGAAAAATATATTGAGGGTATAGAGTTTGTGAGATGTCATTGGACAGAGTTGTATGGAAAATATAAAGACAAGGAAAATGTTTTCTTTATAGTAGACCCGCCGTTCTATAACACATACGATTTTCAATACCAAGTAGACTGGACTTTGAGAGACTCTTTAGAAACTTTAGACGTTTTACATAACCATCCATGCTTTTACTTTACATCCGATAAAAGTTGTTTGGAAAGTGTCATGAGATGGTTAGAGGACATACATGACTATGAGTTTAGATATGACAAGATAGAATATGAGAGAGGTCCTATAAACCGGAGAAAGTGTCATAACAAAGAAATTTTATTGGTAAGTAAATGTGGTTTGAAATAGGACTACTTGTTTTAGGTTTTTTCCATTGTGTCATTTACTTATTTGACGTGGCAGAAAAGTACAGAGAATATGAAGATGAACCAATGTCTGCAAATGTCCAGTATATGTACTCGTAAGAGATATTTTTATCTAATATTAAATGGACGCACAGAACTTAGCGAATGCACAGCAACCTGGACAACCAAACCCAGAGAATATTCCAAATGAAGTTAGAATACAAACTGCAATGGCAAACTATGGTCAAGTGCCAACAGATGTACAAATGCAAACTGCCATGTCAAATGACGCTGCGTTAGGTTTGCCACCATGGTATGCAAATATGAGATGGAAAGAGTTTTATACAAACCCTGAAGTGGGATATAAACAACTATATGCAGATGACGCGAACACAGGAGTTGACCCAGAGTATGTTTTCTACCAGAGGAGAAATAGAATGTATGAGCTCCAGTTAAAAAATGCTATGGAACTCAACAGGAAACGTAAGAGACTAGGCAGACATTAGATTTTTACATATAGTAAAATGGGCTTCTTCAGTAGTATTGGAAACTTCTTCAGAAGAGTTGGAAGAGGTATATGGAATGGAATAAAAACCGTAGGAAAAGGAATTTGGAACGGAGTCAAAAATATTGGTAAAAGAGTAGGTCAGTTCGTTGGTATTATACCTAAAGACCCTGAACCAGAAGAACAAGCTCCTGTTATACAACAGCCTGAACCTGCACCACAGTCTAGTTGGCAACCAAATCCAACACCTCAACCGTATTAAAATTATATTTTTACCGTTCGATAGTAGTTGTATATGAAACTAAGTTCTAAGTAAAACGCATGGTATAATGGAACTATTCTCTTTCTTCCATCTGTTGTAAACCATACTTGAAAGTCTGAAATACTTCCACTCGGTGGTTCATATAGCTTTGTAGGTTTTTCGTAAAAGTCATTTGCCAAGCATAAAAAAGAGTTTTGTGCACCAGAAAATGAAGCATGAACTATAATAGCATCTGAGTCGAAAACATTTTCATATGTTCCATTAGGGTTTTCGACTTCATAAAAGTCCGGGTGTACTGGATATTCTGCAGGCTGATTTAACATCCTCATAAACCTATACCATGCCAAGTTGTTATATTTTGTAGAAATATAAACGTTTTCTCCAAGGTCTTCTATTCTATTGATTTTAACAGTTGCATTTTTCCTGTCATATATAATATCGAGATGGTACTCTCCTTCGTCAATGTTAAACTGGTTTGCATATTCGAGATAGATATCGTTTATTTTTTCTTGAAAAGCTTGAAGAGTTGTTTCTAAGTTTACAAGCAAATTCACTTGTAAAAGTTTTCCCTGTTCAAATTTCTCATACATACGTTTTTCTTTGTTATAGTATCGAACTTCAAAACCGACCGTAAATGGGAAACCATGTATGGCTTCTGAAATGAACTTCATTCTACGAAAGCCAATAGCTTTTGTGACGGATGGGTCTCTTAGCCATCTTAACTGGTAGTCAAAACGATAGCCTTCATGCTTTACGGTCTCTGTCTCAAACTTTTGACCTACATTCGTAAAAAGTTCATCTAATGGTTTAGTTGTAGCAACTCTAGAAGTTTCTTTTTCTATTGGAAGCATATTTTATCTAGAATAAAAATGTCGAATGAAACAGCGTCTATGAGAGAAATACAACACAACCGACAACTCATTTTGCAAGCTCTAAATAAGAACACAACAAACTTTTCAAACTATTCTAAGATATCTGAGTCATTGAAAGAAGGAAACTTAAAACTGACATTAAACCCAATGACAGACGAGTTTCTATTTCAAGACAATAAGAACCATACTGTCTGTGTAAATCCAACAAAAGGAACTTTAAACGAGAAACCTATAGATGAACTTCTTTTGAAAGCAGATGTTGACAACAAAGCTGACAAAGAGTATGTCATTGAAAAAGTTCAAGAAGAACATGACAGAGCAGATGCAACATATGCAACAAAAGAACATACTCATCCTGAACTAGCAGACAAAACATATGTTGACAATAAAATGTCAAGTGAAGTGACAAGAGCTGACAAAGAATATTCTAAAAAGACTCATACACATACCATTGCAAATATTACAAACTTACAAGAAACCTTAAACAGGAAAAGTGACGTTGGACATACACATACAAGTTTTACAACTTTTACAGCAGATGATATAATATTGAACTTTGACCTTGGTTCAAGTGCACCTTCAGAGAATCCAAGCACTAGTGTAAAAGATACTCTTAACAATTTAGTTAACAGTTGCAGGAATATCGAAGAGCATGCCAGAAACTTTGAAGCATATGAACTACCAACAATGTTAGATAAGAAAGCAGACAAAACAGAGCTTCAAACATTAAAGACAGAAATACTTCAAACACTATATCCTATAGGCTCTATTTATACGTCAATGAACTCTACCAGACCAGAAGTAGTACTTGGTTTTGGAACTTGGACTCAAATAGTCGACAGGTTTTTGTATTGTGCAAACTCTTCAAAGGAAACAGGTGGAAGTAAAACGATTTCAGGTGAAAACTTACCTGCGCACAGTCACTACATAAATTTAAGTACATCTGAAGCAGGTTTGCATAGTCATAGATTTTGGGATTGGTCAGGAATGACAAAAGGTAAAGGATATGATGTTAAAGACGACGTTAAGTTTGCTATAAATTGTTACTGGAGTAACACTGATGTAGGAGGAATCCATTCACATCGCGTTTCAGGGTATACGCAAACAACGGGACAAAGTAAAGACTACATGCCACCTTACATGACAGTTTACGCATGGTATAGAAATGCTTAGTCGTCATTTTCAACTTCTTTAGCATATTCGTCAGGAGTTGTCTTATATTGGTTAGGAACTGTCTTTGAAAGTATACCACCTTGAACTTTGACAAGTTTGAAACGAGGTCTGACAATAGTAGTTTTATCTTCTGCTTGCAGTTTGTACATTTTGCCATGTTTTGCCTAAAACTTCATAATATTCTCTTGTATACTTTTCTTCTATTTTTACGAACACGAACGTGAGTACCTGTCGGGTTCCCATTGTTGTCATAGTCAATAGTATTTTCATATGGGTCGCGTTTAGGTATTTCTATTTTTACTTTGTCACCTTTCTGAAGTTTGAAGCCCGGCATTCTTTCTTGTTTGTCTCTTTTGACTAAATTGTTAAATATATAGTCTTTCTCTAAGTCGGGGTTGTTTTTCATTTCTTCAGGGGAGTGGTTTCCCAAACCTTTTTGTTTACGGCTATTGTAAATATTTAAAACTTGTCTCATCTTTGCCATGGAGAAGTGTCTATACTTGTCGTCATATGACATTTCATTTGCTTCACCACCTTGTGGTTGGTTTAAGTCTCTTAAGTTTTTATACAACCGTCAATGACACAGAGCAGAATGGTTTTGGTCGACAATGAAATATTGGTTTACATTTTTTGAACGCAGATAGTTTTTAATATCGTCTGATTTGAAAGAACTTTCACAGTCAGATGTCAGTTTTGTTGATGGTATTTGTCAACGAATATTGTCAAAGCAGTTTTCACATCTAAAATATTTTTGGACCATAATGGTATGGCTTCACAGTATCTTGTGTTTTGACCGACAAATATTAGCCAGTATGGTGG